AACTTGCTATGTTTAGCAGCGTCTGGTCGTCTTTTCTTACTATAAGAGACCATGAAGTACAATATAATAATAAGAAAACAAAGTACAATGAATGTTTCGGTTCCTCGTAAACGTTAACGTTTTTCTTATTGTCTTCCCCAGCCGTCCTAGAAAAGGAAAAAGTAATATGTAAGTGCATGTCAAAATACACTCGCAGGCACGTAAAAACAAAGCGGACGGAAAAGGCGAATAATCACATACGCCGGCGACAGCGTAAAATCTATTTCCGAAGAACGTTTTTTGGTTTTATTTCTAAAGAAAAAAATTAAACATACACATATTAGGAAGACATTATTTTCAAATATATATACAAGTATAAGCATGCGAAATATTTTATTGTATATACTTACTTACGCCCGTTGCCCTCGTGGAGGAGCATGGGCCGTACACCAGCATTTTCTGTCCAACTCTATCCTGAGCAGTCCTTTCCAGTTCTTTCCACTTGTTATTCATCCTTTTCATAACTGCTTCCATTTCCCGACGTAATGTGTTCATTGACCTTCCTCTTTTCCGCTTCCCTTCAGGATTCCAAATTAGGGCTTGTCTCGTGATGTCGTTTGATGACTATCTCATTGTATGTCCTATCCACTTCCAGCGTCTTTTTCTAATTTCCTTTTTAGCTGGAAGCTGGTGTGTTCTCTTCCACAGAAGGCTGTTGCTGATGGTATCCGGTCAGTGAATGTTGAGTATTTTGCGTAGACAACTGTTTATAAATACTCGTACCTTCTTGACGATGGTTGTGGTAGTTCTCCACGTTTCAGCTCCATACAGTAGGACTGTCTTGACGTTCGTATTGAAGATTCTCACTTTGAAATTCGCTGACAGTGGTGTTGAGTTCCGTATGTTCTTCAATTGTAGGAATGCAGACGTTGCTTTGCCAATCCACAGCTTTACATATGCATCGGGGTCCTCCTTGTTCATCAATGATGCTTCCCAGGTGCGCGAATATTTCCACATCTTCCAGAGTTCCGTCAGCAAGTGTGGTTGTGTTGGTGTTCTCCATGTTGAATCTGAGGATCTTGGTTTTTCCCTTGTGTATGTTTAGGTCTATTAATGCAGAGGCTACTGCTACATTAGTTGTCTTCGTCTGTATTTGTGTATGAGATGTGTGTATGAAATAGGAGGGCTAGGTAATCTGCGAAGTCCAAATCGTCTAATTGATTCTAAGCTGTCCATTGTATTCTGTGCTTCCCACCAGATGTCGAAGTCTTCATAATCCAGGCAATCACCAGAAGAAAGAGGAAGGGTGAGAGCAGACAGCCATTTCTGACTCCGGTCCTTACCGTAAGCTGTTCGCTATGCATGACTTTGCTCTATAGTCCGTCGTATGAATTCTGGATAATGTTGAAATATTCTCAGGAACTCCATGGTGTTGAAGAAGTTTCAATAATGTTGTCCGGTCCACACTGTGAAACGCCTTCTCATAGTCGATGAAGTTGATGTATAGTGGCGAATTCCACTCCACTGATTGTGCCATAATGATCCGCAGTGTCGCAATTCGTTCTGTGCATGACCAATCCTTACGGAGTCCTACCTGTTGATATGGAAGTCGAGCGTCTACTGAGTCCTTCATCCGGTTTAGCTACCCGAAAATTACTTTATTGTATATAATATAAGTGGAAATCAAGATAAGGCAAAATGTTAACAGGTGTCTCAGGTGCGACAGTTGTTTAAATGTTCTTGAAACCTTACTCTTCTTCCAGAACGCGTTGTTTTAGGTTTATTTTCCGACGATCGCGAAGTATCAACGTGTGTGTCGGCTGTCGTGTGGGGTACTACAAGTGTAGGAGCCGTGTCGTTCGATTGTACGGAAGGAAAATCAGCATGTATAGGATTTCCATTTTTAAATACGTTGCTTTAATTCAATCGATACTGATGCTATCGTAAGTGCCGTTCTTATCAAGGATATAATACTTAGGTTCACGCTGGAGAACTTCGAAGGGTCCTTCGTATGCTGATTCAAGGGGTCGTCGATGCGAGTTTGGACGTACGAAGACATGTGTACTTTATCGTACATCAGAATGAACGGAAAAATCATTTGATTGAGGTCGATTGAAAACGTTAAACTGAACGTAATGCATACAAACGCCGATAATCACCAGTTGGACGCCAGTCGTTGCTGTCCTTTTTCGGGCCCATGTGCAAGGGAGATGCCCATGGGCTCCTTGATGGTCGAATGATCCGTAACTATATTATGTGGTCCAATTCGTTTTTGGTCAACCTCAGCTTTTCGGGAGCCAGTGGGCCTGCTTTCGACAATGCAGCTGATCCTGTAATTGTAATGTGATGTGTAGCATTTCTGGTTACACACGGCAATTTCGGTTGCCTTTTTTATATCCCATAGTAATAATCGAGTAATGGTTGATGGAACGGGTCTATTGTGTGCCTAATTAAGACTGCGGATAATCTTCAACCGGAAAAAAATTACTCAAACTGATAACTTAGTATTTTCGTCTACTAGCCTCTGTTTACGCGTATCGATGAGCAGATCGTGGTGTTGTAGGAGGTCTATACCAATGATTGGCATAGAAACAATGCAACAATGAAGATCCAGCGAATGCCTTTTCGTAAACATACGTTAAGGTTAACTTACTTTATACCATATGTGGCGATTGACTTTCCGTTTGCTGAATTTAGGTTTAAAACAGACTCGTTAGAATTTGCAGTAAGAACGCTAACTTCAGCGCCAGTGTCGACGAGGTAGTGAACTTACATCATCATATCTGTGGCGCGCAACAGACGGCTTTGTTCGCCGGTTACGGTTGCGGTTAACGCGTGCCGGCTGGGAAGTTTCCCGAATTGCTTTTTTCGCGGGGAGGGGGATTTTGAGTTCGGGTAATTGCAGGATTTTCTGCGATTTCTGGAATACTTTCCATACTGATTATGATACCCGCACTAGTCGAGGTTATCCGTCTTCCTTGGTCTGGAGACAGATTACCCACGCGAAATGCTTTTTTGCGAGGTATGTGACTGTTCACGGTCATTACGAAATATAGGATAACATGTAAGTATATGACAGAATTCCACAATGTCATTCTGGGTCGTTTGAGGATTTTTTTAAACTGAAAAAAAGTCGGCTTTAAAAGATTTCGTGATTTCTAGGATGCGGCCAGCAGATGCAGTCAGCTCGTCTGCGGTACTGTTTTGAAACGAGACAAGTACTGCTTGCACCTGTTGAGGAAGTTTAAATTATAAAAGTTGTCTGAACAGTCCTTTATCGAAAAATCTCCGGTCAATTACCTCTCTCATTCGTAGCGACATGTCCGTTGCTGAACCATGTTGCATATCAATGTTATTAAGGAGTTGACCTAATCTTTTTCGATCGGTTAGATCTCCGCGTTTCAGAATGGATCGTTTTAGAGTTTCGTTAGGTTCAGAAACATCACTAGTAAACGTACTAGGTGTGACATGCCTGTTGACTTTGCGCTCTAGTGCCGTTACTACTACGAGGAATTGTGCGCGTTGATCAGTCATACCGTGCTCGTACAGGTCAACGCAGCAGGATCAAGCATCGATTTTGTTCGGCCAGAATGACATTGGCTGAAGCAAGGATGGTGTAAGAGTCTTGATCTTAAGAAGCTTAGGAGTCTGCTCTGTCATGGCGAAAAATGTCACAATATATAAAAAAAATCAAGTAAAGCAATGAATTGTGAAGTTCTAAATAGGAACAGATTCACATTTTATGGGTTAATGTATCAGATCATGTCGGGCTCACCAATGAGGTTGCCACAGGTATTGTAGTTTGACAACACTTTAACCACGAACACTTTTAATTGAATCATGCCCACTCAGTGAAGTCAAAAGTCAGAAGCGAGGAGGCTCAAAAATATATTTGATTGGTTATCAATATATTTTGGTCTAAACTGGCTAGCAATCGCAGAAGTTGAGCACGACGTTCCCATTCGCGATCTGGCGTGGATGCGCGACCAAGCGCGTTCAGCTAGGTGAGTCCATTAAAAGTAATGTGGTCAGCATCCAATGTCGAACACTTACGGAGCTACTGATTTTGCCGATTTATTTACTGCCATAATATGGTTGTTGCTCTGAAACAGTAGACCTTAATATCACACTCTTTTCATCTAACATGTTTTTGACCAGAGTGTTTTTTGTCGACAACTAGGTCACAGTTGGTGCAGTTACTACAAGTATGGTGGAGATGATGCTCACATATTATGATGTTTTGTCCATTTAAAAAATATAGGGGAAATATATCACTACTTCTCACCATTATTAATCTATAGTTTTCCGATACCGATCGGTTTCCATCCGTTTAGTTGTATATCCCTTACAAATCCCTTGGGAGAGACAAGAAATGAGTTAATGCTACTATCTCTATACTAGTCTAATGATCATCTGTGGATTCTAGAGCTCGATAGTCCGAGATTTTATTGAAATTGTTAGTAAACGTTAAATGTTTTGTCTTGCGGCAAGTCATTCTTTGTAAACAAGAAAAGTTGGTTCTATGACTGGAATCATCCGACTTGCTACCGCCATAGTGCATGGAAGTGATTACAATTCCTGCGAAAAAGTAGCTTGAATTTAGTAAAGAATGCCTGGTAAGAGCAGGAAGAAGGGATCAAACTAGACTGTGGGTTGTATTCCATTTATTCTAGCAAGTTCTGTGGGTTTATGTGCCATAAAATCTCGTTAATTTTGAGAAGCTCAAACTTCATGATACCTAGATTGACGTAGCAAAGGATGAGTTTCAAGTCACTGAAAAGTAGTGTAATGCAGATAGTATGGCTTAATCTAAGCGCCTGACCTATCAGTTTAGCAATATCATTATAAACGTTAGGTATGAACAGGGAAACTCGGTCCTGAACATTCACCGTAATCCAAACTATCTACTTACTTCTTCATCATCAAGACTAAATATTTGGACGCAGATGACACACGGCAAGCGAAGCTATTATTGAATTCAACACTCTTTATGTTAAGCGCAGGTTTGTTTGTTTGCGTCAACAACCTCAAATTTTTCAGTGACCACTATTCATAGTTGCGAGCGTTCGTTCTGTGAATACGCGCATGTACCATTTTATTTTGTCTCATCTCTGCAATATGACAGAATTAAAAAACTAATTTGTATTGTATCACTCATTGATTATGACAATTATGGTGGATTACTGGGAATCGTACACTCATAAAGTGATTATTAATGGCTCAGATCTGTGATATGGCTCAGGCTTCTGCTTGGTTACCTCTCGTTAGAGCCTCAGCGATTGGATGGGTACCGATCGCTCAACATCGTCTTCCAAAAAATGTGTGCACAAAGGATGATTCAAATCAGGATATTTATGAAAAGAAAGCAATTATTAATGTCAGTGGTCAGAGATTTGAAGTACTTACAAGCAGTTTGAATCAGTATCCACATACGTTGCTTGGATCAGATGAGCGTGATTACTTTTATGATGAGAACAGTGGTGAATATTACTTTGATAGAGACCCTGAAATATTTCGACATATACTGACCTATTATCGTTGCGGGCATCTCCATTATCCTAAGAAAGAATGTGTCATGCAGTACGAAGATGAACTGGCTTACTTTCGGATAGCATCAGAGGCCCTAGGTGATTGTTGCTATGAAGATTACCATGACAGTAAACGTGAAAATTCAGAGCGTCTTCTGGAGGAAAGATCGTCAACCAAAGAGAATGCTGAAGTGCCAAAGGATTTTCGTAACAGACTTTGGCAGGCCTTTGAAAACCCAGAGTTTTCTACCACTGCAATAGTCATTTACTACGTGACCGGCTTTTTTATCGCTGTTTCTGTTTTTGCCAATATCACGGAGACTATACCTTGTGGACCGGAACCTGGACTAAGTAAACAACGGGCTTGTGGCGATCGGTACATAGATGCCTTTTCATGCCTCGACACAGCATGTGTAATCATATTCACTGTAGAATACTGCGCAAGAATGTATGCTGCGCCCAACAGATGGAAGTTTTTTATATCTGTGATGAGTATAATAGATGTTGTTGCAATATTACCTTTTTATATTGGCTTATTGATGCCAGACAACAAAGTAAGTCTGTAGATGTCATTTGTCATACGTTTTTCACATTTTTATCTTGTTATAGTATATATTCATCACTTTTTGAGTTCTTTTAGTTGCTTAATGTAACTGTGTGGTTTGTAGATAGGTTAGTAGAATATTAGAGTTCCAGTTCGAGTAACTGCCTTCAAGATAAAATTTAGAGTGTGTTTACATTTACTAATTAAATGTAACAGTAAGTTAATGTTCCGTAACATCCTGAAATGTAAATGTTAAGGGCGGTCTTAGATGAGTTGATGAGTAAGCTCACACGAGTTATATTTATTGTTTTTGGGGAAATACAACTATCGTTCCCTCGTCACCTTCCAAGATAACAGGATAGTCCAGCTAACCATTCGCGTCTGATTAACTTTAAAATTATGTCTCAAAGCCTTGTTGCTACAGAAACAACGGAAGCTGTTTTTACTTCACAGAAATTAATAACAACTCTCAAAGCACCAGTCATATTTTTATCTGAAATATTAAGACTCATTCAATGTTCGCATTTTAAGAAAAAATGTTTTGATAGGATACCTGAAAGTAGTCGATTTTCCAGGCTACTAAGACATGTTACAGCAGCCGTATTGCTGTTGTCGTTTGAAAGAAGTAATCTATAGTCAAATTAAAGGGCTTTTGGAAAGTATCAACTTTAAGAAAGCTGTAATGTGGCTTTTTTAGTGAATTATAATAACTACTATTTGTTTAGTATCTAAAACTTTGGATGCTTTAACTATAATGCAATACAGAAACAACCTGTTAAATGTTACCATTTTTTATTATCTTGGACTTGTTTTTAGGCTATTAGCATTTGGAAAAGTCAGACTTTATCAAGCAATTGATTGTTTTAATATTCATTTATAAATGATTAATTAATAGTTCCAGATTACAACATTACATTTCGATCGTTTAGCCAAAGTTCTAGGCCAGACAATCAAAGCATGTTTTTCAGATTTTGTATATTTTCTTCTGAGCAATTCCTACGTATGACTTTCTTGATCTGGTGTAAGTGTGTACTCTTTCTATGTTTTCCACATACTTTAGGTGGAACATGAATTATACAGTAATCCGAGCTAGACAATGGAGCACGTTTACGAGTTACATATGTACCAACGTCATTAATGATAACATGATCTAAATAAGCATCCAAACGAGTAGGAAAGTCTACTAAATTTTGATGACCTGGTGATGTAAGGAAGCTACAGTCACATGAATTGAAATCACCACATACAATTTATTTGCTGAACAATGCATGACACTATACAAGTCTTTGCACAGATAGACATTTGGATAAGCGGTCGTTTACTTTCATTTTTCATGCCACTAACGCAAGAATTAACATACATAGGGGACAACTAAACATTAATAAATACTTAATATTGAGATACAACATATAACGCATCGCCCTGTTTTATGTTCAGGAAGTCGTGACGGATCAGTGGACATCAGTATATTATGTACCATGTGCTTTCTGTCAAAACATCCACGTGAATTTTGGCAAATTTTATAACTTCTAAAGATATTAGTAATAGATATATTTTCGTTATATCCCAATGAGTAGAAAATTGTATTTCTGATGTTTCGTGACAGTGTAAGCCACTTCTTTAAAGGGAATAAATAAATGAAATGAAATTAACACAGGTTTAAGTAGCACAAAGCAAACAATTCGGAACATTTTTAGCGCAGTCAAAACCATAAATTCTGTGGCTATTGAAATAATTTTGTCCAACATCAACTTTGCTGTTACTAAAGCTTATCCACAGACTGAATAACAATTTTTCCTATGCCTAATGAAGTAAGTATATATATATAGTTATTGCTTGACAAACTGGCTTGATTACTCATCTTTTTTATTGATGACGTAGTCCTTTCAAACGACCTCAACCTTATAGTAGCGCTTTTTATTGGACTCTTCTGTGTGTGATAATCTTTCAAATTATTCTGTGTTTGTGATATAATCGTAGAGTTCTGTTTGTTTGAGAAACATGCGGCATATCTAACGATGAAAAATACATTGTCTATCGGTTAACAACAGATGTGATGGATGTCTGGCTTATTATTTGATACATCAACTAGCCAAGAAGAGCAAGGCAGTTTTACAGAAATATATAGGGCAATGTGCTAGATAAACATTTTTTGAGATTTTCCACCCAGCGTTAGCTATATGCCTGAAGACATCTATATTGTATGACATTAACCTCACAGAATATTCATGTAGAAACAGCATTATTGTTGATAGTTGTTCAAATAAGCTGGAGTTGCTTTCGGGATTAATTTATTCCCACTTGTACTCTTGACCTGATAGCCATGTTTGAGAGTACACTATAGGCTTTTTGATCAATTTCACTTGATGAAGTACTGACGATCTTTGACCTTGCAATCAGTATAAGTACACAGATGTGAGGTGAAATATAGAGCAGATTATTTCACGAAGTACCTTCAAAAGATAAATATTTGAGTAGTGTATACCATAATTTATAATCTGATATTTGCAGCTGGCTCTTAAAAATATGACACGATTGTTTGTAACTCAACTATCAGTGGTTAGTCAGTCTCTATTACAAAACATAATTTATTTTGCAGCCATCGTAAGTCCAGGTTTTTGATTAGTAATATGTATTCCGATTAGGCAAGTTCAAAAAACCCCGAAAGAGAAATATATACGAACGTAGACACAAAAGCATTATATTTCTCAATTTTTTACCGAACAGATTCAAGTTATGTTAAACAGTCACCTGAAAAAGCGATCTTAGGAGTTTCAATGAAGAAGTGGTGACCAGTGGAGTTCAACCATATCTGGTTGAAACAGCTATCTACCTTAAGCAATGCAAGATGGTTGCGGAGTTTCGCGAAATAATTGAAAGTAGGGACGTACGTCACTGGATGCTGGCTCAGTGGTCTACTGGTTAATTGTTCATTTGTCGGACCAGAGGTCCTGCTTCACGAATGCGAACTGCTGAGGAGTTCCATACCGGGAGGAAAGAGCTGCTCAACGCTCCCTGGCTTTAACTGGCTACCTAAATAAAATCAGTACGCGAAGTGATTTAAAACAACAGATTCAAGTTAAGTTAAGCAATTATCTTAAAGAGTTTTATTGACAGTATATGATTATTCAATTGAAACGTGACTGGGTGTTTTGATTGATGTTCTTTGAGACTTGCTAACCAATACATTACTAGAATTTTTATTTGAATAACTGGAACTGTTTCAAAGGAAAGCAGAAATATGTACATAATGTCGTTAGTTATTCAATATATCGTTAATTTGAAAGAACGATAACTAAATAATAAAAGATTTTACATATCAGCTAAGCTTATTCCTAAATGATTGTTTCTTTTTCTCCTTTTAATTGCACAGGTACAAAGCTAATTTATTCACCACTGCTCATACTTGATACATATATTTTCAGAAATACATCGTGCACTACAACAAGAGCTTCGAAATTTCATATATATATACTAACCACTGATAGTTGAGTTACAAACAATCGTGTCATATTTTTAAGAGCCAGCTGCAAATATCAGATTATAAATTATGGTATACACTACTCAAATATTTATCTTTTGAAGGTACTTCGTGAAATAATCTGCTCTATATTTCACCTCACATCTGTGTACTTATACTGATTGCAAGGTCAAAGATCGTCAGTACTTCATCAAGTGAAATTGATCAAAAAGCCTATAGTGTACTCTCAAACATGGCTATCAGGTCAAGGGTAGAAGTGGGGATATATATATATATAGCTACGATACATGGGAGAAAGAAGCATTAATTACCTTAAGAATAAGGCATGTCTTGGTGATTATTACCAATTAGAAAATGAAATAATTTCAGAGTTTCATTGAGGCTACCTTCAATCATATAAGATTATGCAATGTATATTATATATAACATATAGGCATCTTTTATCTTAGGTTAGGATTAGTTTGAGCATTATTTTAATACATGTGACTTTGAAAATCTTTTAATTTGGGGACTAACCTGTGCATACTCACGATTTCACCCAGAATTAAACTCACGATTTTCAGATCTCGTTTTTTTCACAATTGTTTTAGACCTCTGAAGGAGATTTCAACAGTTCATGTACTCTAGCTTACTAATGGATTTACACCCATATAACTATCGAACAAGAAACTATCAAATAATGTAAAACCATTCGTAATAATGCTTGTTTGCAAATAACATGTCTCTTAATGCTTTGAGTATTACTGATTAGTTTAGTGTAATTATAGACGTTATTTCTAAATCATTTGTTTTCACCCTCTTCAAACTATATTACTTCACTAGTAGAATTACTCCAGGCGCAAAATTTAAAATAAATATAGTAAGTATTTTCTTTATTATCCTTTTCATTGACCCTGCTACTGAATGACAGATAGTAGTTTTTAGCAAGTCATTTGGTAGATTAGTTATTCATGTTCACTTTGTTGTTTTCTCTTTAAGTGTCCTTGCTTCCTCCATTTTGTTCTTTTCTACCTTGAGTAACTGAAAACTTCTGTTTATGTTAGTGTGCATACACGACATATCAATAAATTAAAAAAATACAATGATAGTTTACATTTAAAGGTTAAATTCAATGACCTTTCATTCCTTTAAATTCGAGATAACTGATCGATTGTTGGTATGGAAAAAATGATGTACAGATTATTTACAAAGCTCCTATGAAACAAAATACCGAAAATAACAAATTAAGAAGACACAGGTCGTTTGCAAACGTTATTCAAGTCAAAAATGGTATTATAATTCAACAACATGTATTTAAGTTAAAAATCCCTGTTTTTCTAGAATGAAAAACGAACATTATTTAGTTACCTGATTAGAGAATCATTAGGGTTTGGTACGAAGATTTCCTTAAGGTTTCGATGTTGTGAGATTACAGTGTACTTATAAGACCCTACAGTGACAAATATTTATTTACTTCGAAATACAATATGACGTTTCAGTCAGTTGATTCCCCTTGTTACCTTTTTGGGATCTCATAGTATATGGATTAT